TAACTGGCACATATTAACAGGATAGTTACTGTGCTGTGTGTTAATGTTCCCTGAGGCCACACATAAATCCTGAAAGCTTAGACTGTATTACTGTAATCCTTTGGGGGATTTTATCCCATATTTATTATAACATTATTATGTTCTTTAAGAACTGTATAAGTTGGTCCTCAACTAATCTGCTCAATTAATGGGATTATTCTTCTAGAAGTGTCTAATGTTGAACTAAATTCTGCCCACTATCATAATTATTATTAGGGTATACTTATTCTATAACCTAGCAATACTCACTGAAGACTTAGGGACAGGAGAACACTATGGGGACTATTCACATAACCTTGTTTTTGAATGTTAGGAAACACAAACAAAGTATTCATACTGAACTGGAGTATTCAGTATTCTCCCTACTGGCTAGCTTTCACAGTGCTGGAAGACGTTATGCATGGGGGCTGAGGGAGAAAATCCATCAACAATCTTACCCAGCTGTGAACCCTAGGAATTATGATACCAACCTGTCAGGCAAAATGTGTCCATTTGCACTATAGTGGCATGACAGTTATGGAGGTAACCCAACATCTCCCCGATTGGATTGTAGACACACTTCTCAACTCCATTCAAAAGTTCATGGAACTGGGTATGTCACAGGTACTAGAGGAAATTCCCTTCTGTTGTTTAACTAAGTTAACAAAGTGCAGAACCACCTTCAAAGCATATATTTATACACAGAAACCATGACCACTCTCAGCACTAATCAGAGAGGCCTCTTTCCAATGGTCTACAGTGAATGCAGAGACTCATGGCTCAAAGGGTGTTGAGAGTAATGGTGGTCGAGTAATCACCCTTAAACTAAATATACACTCACCTCCAAAGCTCAGAGGCATCACGGAAGATGAGTTGGAAAGAATATCTGCCATCTACTGTGATGCCTCTGAGCTTTGGAGAGCTGCCATCTTCTGGGCAATACATGATCACTGTAATCACAAACCCTCAGCAACAGTGGGTGATCACACTAGCTCTGCATCAGAATAAGCTCAGACACGGCCCAGACATGAACAGTTCACTGCTAAAGTCTATTCAACTGATAGATTCAAGGAAAGAGGGTGTCGTTGCCTTCAATCATGTGCCCACTGGAACTCCACCAAGCTCTGATGGAAAGTGCCAAGGCAATGCTTACACGGGTGATCTTGTTAAAGAAAATGGGTCATAAAGGAGACCAAACATAATGCATACAGGAAATCAACAAGTAGGGAGACACCTCATAAAGGCCAGGAGATTTTTTTAAAGGTGGGTTAAGATTATAAAGTTTTTAAATAACTAACTTAAGACAGTATATGAATTTCTTTATAAGTATCACCAATATCCAGTCTTAAGTTTCATACGATGTCAGAATCTCAGAGATTAAAGTAGACTAATGCTCAGAAAGTCCTTAGCACATGGTGAATGCTCAGTAAGTTCTCAGAACGGCAACATTTAGAAAAACACAATGTACTCAATCCAATGCCCCAAAATACTTTAACTTTTCTAACCCAAACAGTTTTTAGAACAGGGAAGTGAAAAGTTTAGCAATTCCCCTATAGTGCCCCTCAGCCCATCACAGCAGAAGGAACCCATGTCTGATGCTGGCACATTCATACTCAGGCCCCAAACATCACAATCTCCGAGGTCAAGCTATGAACTCCCTGAAAGCCACGCAACACAGCTGACAGTGCATCCACCCCATAAGCCTCAACAAACAAGTGTTAGGCTTTTCTATGTTCAACTCCAGGCTTGCATGCACTTAATTCTGTTCCTCACAGGTGCACTATTCCAGAAAGCAAAGCAAAGCAGCAAGAGGAGCACACTGGACACAGAAAACCATATGAAATTGTTCACAGTATTCATATTCTCTCTCCAGAAGCCTCAAGTCTTTCTTATCTCTGTTGGCCACTGTTAAAAAAAAAAACCGTTTCTCTAATATTTAAGTTAAAGTCTCTCTGTTTCTCCACCACCTTGGAGAAAGTCAACAAAAAAGAAAGATTGGATTGACAGAGCATTAGGTGGCAGACAATGCTGTTTGGTTCCGAATTGTCTTGATCCTGGGACAATCAAATATGTCAAGTGACAAGGGATACTGTAGAGTTTAAAAGCTTCTCAATGAAGAAAATGTTTTTACTACACATTCATTAACAATCTCAGTCTGAAGAATGGATGGATGTACCAGCTCATACCTAAACCCAGCATTCTCTTTATAATAAGCCAAATACTAAAAACACAATCCAAGCCCCCTCTGTCCTTTCCATTAGGCCTACTTCCCTTTCTCCCAACTATTAGTAAAGAGAAGCATAAAAGGATAGCAAGAGGACCAAATTCAAATGAAAAATGAGCCTGAATTTAGGGCTTCCACAGCATCACGATGAGCCCAAGTTCAGATGTTCAGTGCATAATCAACTCTAACAACAGGCTCAGACACCCCAGTTGTCATTAGAAACAGGTCAACTGTGGAAGATACAAAAGATGATGCCTTTATAGTGAGTTCACACTTAGTTCCTCCCTGGCAAGAGCCATCTGTAAGCAGTTTTTTTTTTCTTTTTACCCAGAAAACCTGCAGAGGTTGCTAATTAGTTGAGGAGGCAACAAGTGCTGTTCTTAGACACGGACATCTAAAACCTGTACAACCCGTCATCGCCGGCTCAGCTCAAACACCAAGTCATACCATAACAGCAGAAGACGGCTGAGGGCAAATGGATGACGGGATGGATGATGGGATCTAAGCTTTTGTACTTTTCTAAGAGTGATCACTTAACAAGGTCACTACTACTGCAAACATGTATTGTGTGTCCTTTCTTCCCCTAAGGCTGGGGACCACAGCCTTAATGGCTGTGTATTATTTGCTTTGTAGCTCTATCAGCATGTATAGTACCTGCTATTTAGAAAGCATCTAAATTCTTCTCATTCTTGGTAAGGAAGAAAAGACTGTATTCACATATTTTTAAAGGCATTAAAATTACTAAGGATTTAGCCTCTGTGGTACTCCCATATGAAGAAGCTGGTCTCTTGAGGCTGGCCTTCCTATCATGAGCAGTCATTGTCTTGTTTTCCCAGGTACAACACAAATATAACAGAGAGCCCTCAGATGAATTCCCTAGTACCTGAGCAAACGTAGTTCAGGATTCTTTACCTCCCTCCTTCTATACGGGCTGCTTGCAAAGAGAATACAGGCAACCTGCTTTTAAAAACAACTCCGAACACCGAGCACAACAAGGAAGACAGACTAAATAGATTCTGAAATTCCCAGATAGCTGCCAACAAGGAACAGCTGGCACTGAGGCCAGGCTCAGACACGTGTGATGTGGGCAGGCTCACTGAAGAACATCATCACCTCCTCCAATGCCAGGGGAGCAGCTCCACTGGGCAGTTACTCACACAATGCTCACTGCCTTTGAGGTCAGAATCTTGTGCCCTCTCTGGCCAGGCTGATATTTCCCGGTTCCCCCCAGCCCTGTCCCCACAGTGGCCCTCCCTTCCCTCCAGCCCTGTCCCCACAGTGGCCCTCCCTTCCCTCCAGCCCTGTCCCCACAGTGGCCCTCCCTTCCCTCCAGTCCTGTCCCCACAGTGGCCCTCCCTTCCCTCTAGTCCTGTCCCCACAGTGGCCCTCCCTTCCCTCCAGCCCTGTCCCCATAGTGGCCCTCCCTTCCCTCCAGCCCTGTCCCCACAGTGGCCCTCCCTTTCTACCCATCAGCCTCTCACTGATCCTGCCATGCTTTCCATGATCATCTCCATCCCTGAAGCCCAAACCCAGATAAATATGATGACATATTCAGTATCTTTACATATTTCCAGCACTCAACAAGAAACTAACTGTTCAGTACCATTCTCAATTGTTTCTAGAACATTCTAAATTTAGGATCCATCATAGAATAATAATAGTAATAATAATAATAACAACAACAACAGTAGCAATAAAATCCTCCTGCCCCCATAAAGCTTACATTCCAGTGACATATTTCCCAGATTGTATCTTGAAAAAAAGAAAAAAAAAAAACAAGCTAGTTTCTAGGACTTCAACCTTCTCAACCCCATCCCATACCACCAAGCCTTCAGTGAAGGACCTGTCAGCTTCTTTTCCACCCATTCTCCAAAGATGTCAAAATTCTGTGAGGTTTGTAGCTAATGATATCTCAAATGACTATGCAACTAATAATATCTGAAATGACTGGTTCTCCGACACACACACACGCACGCACGCACGCACGCACGCACGCACGCACGCACGCATGCACGCACCTTCTCCTATTGCTTTTGGAGCATCCCCTCTTCCACCCTGCAGCCACAGTGGTTGTTCAGAAGATCTGCTGAGACCACTGCCAATTACTCACAGGGTGTTGTCTCCCTGGCAGCCCTATGATCTGACTGACCCCACACTAAGCTCTCTGCCCCAGAAACCTCTACCTGCCTCAGGTTCACTCCTCTGCTTCTTCTCTTCTTGCACCAGTCCCTCCTCTTCCTGACCTGCTGGGCCCCTGCTTATCCTTTGGAGACTAGCTTGACAGACCTCTGCTCTGGGGAGATGTGCCATGCTCTGTGCCAAGGTTGCTCCCTTCCTCCTCCTGTCCCCCTCTGGCATTGCGTGGATCTGTTTGCTGTGTTCCCTCTGTTCCAGGCTGAAGACTCATCAAAGTCAAGGTTCACTGTGTCCAACTTGGATAACCAAGATGCCTCCTACCACACCATGTCTGACATGCACAAGACACACAAAGAGCTGCCCATTTGGGGTAACCCTCTTGCTCTAGACTTAAAAGGCTTTTTTTCTACCAATGACTGACTTTCTGCTACTCTCTCCATCCCAGGAATCTCCACCTGACTTCGGTTCACTCCCCCTGCCACTTCTCTTCTCAAACATGGATACTCTGCTACATCTCTCCCTCCTCATGCTAGGTTCCTGCTTATCCTTTAAGGACTCAATGCAAAGAACTCTTTTTCTACAGACCAGAGAAAGTGTTAGACTAAACGGGGAGACCACTCACTTCACTTCTGGAAGCAACAGCCCGGTGCAGTGGGGTCAGCCACATGTTGTCCTTGGCATTTACACGAGCTCCTGCAACCAAACAGCACAAGTTAGGGCACAGCGGAGTCAAGGGCTGTGTGCAGATCTTTTCTTTGTATCAGTTGTAATTTGACAAGATTTTATATGGGATAAAAGGGCCAACAGAAATCTATCTTGCCCTGAAATCCCAATTAGTTCTCTAGTACTAGCCAGATATTTTGATATGAGAATCCATATTACATGAAGTGTTTGGACAGGCGCCTGTGCAGATTGTTCATAACTTCTTCATGCTATGGAGCAGATAGACAGGTTCAAGCCCGTGACAAAACTGGCTCACACTGAGAGACATGATCCATGCTCAGCTCACTGAAGCCAGGTCACACACAGCACAAGATAGGAATGAAAGCTACATATGAATGGACTCTTAGAAAACAGAATACACTTTGTTCCCTTGACATTTCCAAAACTTTCCATGGGAGCAAAACTACCAAAGATACATTTGAACAATGGAAACACCCTATACAAGTCTTTGGTTCAGGGTTTTGATAAATCTTCCTGCTAGCATGTGGTGGTTTGAATATGCTTGGCCCAGGGAGTGGGGTATTTGGATGTGTGACCATGTTAAAGTGTGGCCTTGTTGAAGTAGATGTGGTCTTCTTGGAGTAGGTGTGACCTTGTTGGAGGAAGTGTGTCACTGTGGAGGTGTGCTCTAAGACCCTCATCCTACCTGCCTGAAGGCCAGTCTTCTCCTAGCTGCCTTCAGATGAAGATGTAGAACTCTCAGCTCCTCCTGCACCATGTCTGCCTGGATTCTGCCACACTCCCACCTTGATAATAATAGACTGAACCTCTGAACCTGTAAGCTGGCCCCAGTTAAGTGTTGTCCTTAGAAGAGTTGCCTTGGTCATGGTGTCTGTTCACAGCAGTAAAACCCTAAGTAAGACACAGCTAGAGACTACTTCATAAAAGAGCTGGAACAGGAAGAGGGAGAAGGTACCTATAGATGCAGTGAGAGGCATCCATTTAGGTCTTAGGATAGTGAAGACGTTCATGAGGGTGGTGTAGAGGCATGAATGAAAGAAACTAAAAGGACAATGAAAAGGAAGAAAAGAGCAGGCAACCTGAGGAGAAGAGCTGAGGAAGTGAGTCAGGTGAAAGCAGAGGTTAAACACAGAACCTTCTAGAAAGGCAAAAGTCTTCTTGAAGGGTATCAGGAGACTTTCTTAGGTAAAAGACTATTTAAGCTACAGACTTAAAGAAATGATGAAGCATAGAATGGATAGTATTTTTAACTGTGATCAAGTACCATCAACAGCATTCATCACAGAAACAGCATAATCCTCAAACAAAGGGGAACCCACCCCAACCTCTTCCCCTCCCATCTCACTTCATCGGTTTAAGATGTCACCAGACACAAGTAGGTTTTTGTTTTGTTTTTCTTTTTCTTTTTCTTTTTCTTTTTTTTTTTTTTCCGAGACAGGAGTTCCCTGTGTAGCCCTGGCTGTCCTGGAACTCACTCTGTAACTCCGTAGACCATGCTGGCCTCGAACTCAGAAATCCACCTGCCACTGCCTCCCAAGTGCTAGGATTAAAGTTGTCCACCACTACTGCCTAGCTGTGTTATTTTGTTTTGTTTTGAGAGCCCAAGCTTATTGTAGCATGCTGTCAAGGTTGAGACCTACTGACAAACTTAATTTTAATCAAAGTTAAGATAACTTGAAAGTCAACTTTCATGAATTTCATCTAGTCTAAATGGTCTTTTAAGCCCCTTACCAGCATGACAACTACAATAGAATGAGAATCCTTGAGCTAAATGCTCTGAAGTGAAATGAGTTGGGCAGACAGTGGGGTTTATGGACAAAGCTTGGGATTTGTATTTCAACTTTAGCAGCCACTATTCTAAGGACTCAATTTGTAGAATAGGCTAACAACCACATACCACTCACTTTCCTGGGAGAGTCAGAGGGATGGGAGGTCACTTCACATATCACAAAGCACTAGAAAATTATTAGCAGTTCTTATTTCAAAGTCACTCAATATTTCATCCACCCCCTAAGTCTATGGCTAAGATTTTCAATAGCTGCAAAAAGTATGGTTTAACACTTAAGAACTATCAACTATGAAATAACAAAATGAAAGCATATTCTTTTAAATTTTCACTTAAATTTTAAAATTTTATTTTATGTGTGCAAGTGTTTGCTTGCATGTATACATTTATACCATGTACACACCTGGTATTCACAGAGATCAAAATTCCACAACCCCTGGAACTGGAGACACTGATAGTTGTGAACCAATGTGTAGGTGCTGGGAACCACACCTTAAGTCTTCTGCAAGAGTCAACAAGGGCTCTAAGCTGTTGATTCATCTCTCCAGGATCCAAATCCACACTTTTTAGTTTTCTTTATATTTATCTGTGTGCATGCTTTCTCCTTGGAATTTAGAGATAAAACTTAGATTGCCAGGCTTGGAGTTTGGTGAACATCTTAACCTGCCAAGCCTTCTTGTTAGCCCCATGAGCACATTCCTTTTCTTCCTTTAAAGAACTGTGTGTGTATGCCATGTGTGTTGGAGTGTACAGAGGACAAAAGAGAGTGTTAGATGCCCTGGAGGTAGAATTACAGGGTATAAGGAGCAGGCCCTTAATAGGACCAACTCCATTTTGTAATAGGAAACTTGTAGAGACAAGTCTGGAAGTAAAGTACTTGTAGAGACAAGTCTGGAAGCTGTGCTGTGATAACCAGACACAAGTGGTTATCAGCCATGCACATCAGCAGTAATGCCAAATCAAACATAAAAGAGAAGCCCAGTCAAAGTACTTCATCACACACTGGTAGCTATGACTTTCTGGTGTGATCCTCCACCAAGCTTCCTCAGCTCCCGACCATCAAAGAGTTAACCGAGAGAGCAATGCCTCCACTTCAAGGTCAAATTAGCAATTCAAGTAGCTGGAAGCCCAGCCTGACCCCATCTTCACAGACTCCAGACCTGTAACTGAGACTATCATAAGGACTCAGGTTGTATAACCCATGAATGGATGTTCTATTTATTGCTATGCTTATTTCTTTGGTAATTAGCAATTTATTATTTGTGTTTAAGTGCCAATATTGTTAGAGGCAATGCATAGGAAATGTGGCAATATCCTGTGGTAGCAATAGCCTTAGCATTGGTAATAATATATTGTCTGCTATGTATCATTAAAGAGCAATTGAATGTCAAACCCTCCATCTCTCTGGAGTACTCTCTCCCCTCTCATGGAGCTGAAAATCTCACAGTCAAATCCAGTCACCTTATGTGGGTGCTGGGAATCAAACTCAAGTCCTCCAGGAGAGCAGCAAAGACTCTTCCCTGCTGGGCTTTCCCTCCAACCTCATTAAGCATTTTTTAAAAGTAAGAAAAACTCAAGTGTTATTGAGTCCTAGGGCTAAGGAAACCCAGGTGTGATTAAAAGAAAACAAAAAATGGTGAATTTTAAAATTAAAAACCCATTGGTCAAAAGGAAATCTGAGATGTTTTCCCCCTAAGTGTTGGCACCAGCAAAGTGCTAGAGTCTAGTGGTTGCTATGCAGCTTTCTTGTTTAGACAGGAATGGCATTAATATCTTTAGCTCCTAGTAGAACATTCTGGAAGCCAGTCAACCCCTTCAAAATTACCCGCTTTCTGTTACATCTTCATTATGTATAAAGTTAGCACAAAGTGCTTAAACCACATTTCTGCAGTTAACTAAGTGCATGGTTACTATTTTAAAGGCTGTTTCTTTGGCATTGAGGTAACAAATATCAAGCAGGCCTCACACCATCCTAAGAGCTGGATACAGCCTAGTGTTTGCAGTTTGACAGAGTTTTATGTTTTCTTTTAGTTTCTTTTTTTTTTGTAAACATAAAAAGTTAGTGCAAGAAGAATGGCCAAATGACAAACATATGGAGAGATGCTAAAAGTTCATCAGGATAAAGACATGAAGGCAGAGCTACATACTACTTCATGATGTCAACCAAACTGATAGAAAGAGTAAGATGTGAGAGTAAGCCATCGGGAAAGGTGTGGAGTAAAGGCAGATTGGGCACGCAGCCAGTGAGTGGGGACTGCTCAGTTCCTCTAGGTGTAGGGACAGCAACACAGCACCACCTAAGAAAACCTATCACGTGTGTCCATGCTATGAACAATTCATGCCTCATATGCCCTCAAGAAACACACACACACACACACAGTCCTCACACTCACACTCTCACACACACACAATCCTGCTGGCACTGAGGAAGTGGCTCGTTCAATAAGCTCCCTATCATGCAAGCATGAAACCTAAGCTCACATCCTTAGCATCCACATTTTTAAAAGCCAGGCTGAGGGCAGAGACAGAGAACTCTGGAGATCACTAGCTAGCCAGTGTAGCTAATAAGTAAAGAGTAAGTTCATATGTAGTACGACCCTGTCTCAAAAATAAGGTGGAAGAAGAGGATGACAACCAGCAGTTACCCATGATCTACACATGCACACACAAGCACACATATACCACACACACACACACACACACACACACACACACACACACACATAGACACAAAACAAAGCAAACAAAAACTCTCCTGAAGCTATTTAATTTTGTTCTTTAGTGCAAGCTGATCTAGAATTCCCTGTGTAGTCTAGGCTGGCCTTAAATCTGCCAGTCTTCAGATCTCAGCCTCCACATCCTGCAGTTACAGGTATGTGTCATCATGTCTGGCTAAAATATAAGGAGTGTGAGCAAGTGTGTGTGTGTGTATGTGTGTGTGTGTTTCACATAAGTTGTATTGTTCTCACACTCAATTTCCTTGTTCCAGTTAACAATATGTATTTTATATCCATCTAGGCTGTCATAGAGTAAGTCAATTCCTTCTCACTGCTACATGTATTCCAATGTAAACATGTCATTTTTCAAACAGTTCTTATTCTGATAGATAGTTCAGTTATTCCCAATAGCTTTCCAAAACAGGCATTCATAAAGTGACTTCTGATGTAAGCATTTGTCTAGAACAGGTAATTAAAGATGGACTTTAAGTGTCACAGGTAACGCA